ACAGCCCTGAGAAACCCACTATGTGTAGCATGAGTCTTCCTTTACCAGAGGCCTGGGAACTTGAGTCTTCTGTGTAGTATCTTAGCACTCTTCTAAACAGAGAGCTCAGGTGTTATTGCTGGGATATGTTGGAACTGCTCTCCCATCTTAGGAATCACAACTCTAAGTGCTCCTATTACCACTTTTTTTTTTTTTTTTTTACAAAAATCATACTTAAAATAACTAGCAGAGAAGAAAAAACATCTGGAATCATTGCTGTTCTTCTTGATTGACTGCTTCTTTGTATGTTTTCCTTACTATATTTTTACTGTTGTAAAAAGTTATCTGGGCATCTTATAAACAACACAATATAAACAAGAAATACTATCAAGCCTGAGTCAGAATTAAATTATTTGAATTGAGACAGTCAGACTCAAAGAAATGGTATCAAAACCACCTCTTTAGCACCACGAAATCTCTCTTGAAAGACTTTCCATAATTGAGGTGCTACTAGGAGAAAAAAACTCCTTCTCCCTAGTAAGAATAAGTGATTAATTTATTTGCCCTGGGCACTGAGAACAATTCCTTGAAGATTTGGTAGGTGCAAAGAGGAGACAATGGTTTTTTTTTTGTTTTTTTTTTTTTTGGTATTCAGGCTTTAATAATTACAGAAACCCCTGAAGATAAGTCTTGAGCAGACACTGTAAGAAATAGAATTAGCAACAATTCCTACCTTAGACTACTCTCAGTGACCATAAAAAGTGCAACACGATATTAGATCAAAGACAGGAAACTGCCATTTTACAATGAAAAGTAAATATGATAAGCAGCTAAATATTTCTAAGCCAACTTTCTGGGCAAATATTCATCCCAATGGAGCTTACTAAAAATAAAAGAAAATCTGCAGTACTCAAAAACATATTGCTTCGTATTAAAATTTATCTACTGCATCCATAAATAAAATTAATAAAGGAAAACTGCCAACATCTTGAAAAAGGATAAACTGAGGTTTTGGCAATAGCACATATGAATGCTGAAATTTTATGAAATCTTTCTGGATAAATTGTGTTGATTTGGGTGCTGATCTTTCATTTAAAAAAAAGTTCTGCTTACCTTTCATCACATCTGATCAAAATCACACTGTCAGTACCAATTCCTAAGGCAGCTGCCCCTTTCTTCACTGAAAAATGACTCTGAAAAAGTATATTGATTATTTTGTAGATGGAAACAATGCACCAATATATTTCTCCTGTGAAATAATGCTCTTGCATTTGTCTTCTTTGCAGACTAGTGAAATATTTGAAGTAATTCTTTAAGGGTTTGAAAAAAAAAAGCAAAATCCAGTCTCACTTTAGAAATTGACAATGTATTATGATAGAGGCTTTAGTGGGCTACTGTGTATTTCATCATCTGCATTAATTGTTGTCCTGAGCCTATAAAGCAAGTCTTATCAAGTAATGAATTTGCAGAAGACACAGTAAGTACAGCAGTTGTTGATAAACAAACCTTTGGGCAGTGAGTAAGTTGAATCCTATTGTTTTTCTTTTCTATATAATTCTCCCCATCCATATTTATATTTATCTGAAACAATCCTACTGGGAGAAATTGGGGAAATTCATATGTAGCCTTGAAAAGTTTGAGAAAGTATGCGATGTGTGCTCAAATTCCTGAAAATGGAGGTGCTCACAATTAAGAAGACTGACCCATGCTCTATTGCCTCTGACTGACATGTAATGTTTTCTGAATACAACTTTTTCTTGCAGACCTACTGTAGCCCGACAGTCAAACATCTTAACAATCAATGGGCAATTTTTCTGATAGCCTTGAGCCACAATTTAAAATTTCTGGGTCTCAAGAAACATTGCACAGTTCATTTTTTCAATTTTTTTTTTAAATTGAATGGGATTGGAGGTTTCTTCTTCTTTTTGTTGTTATTTCATCATTATATTTTAGAGTTTGTATCACAATTTTCATGTATTTCCCGACCCAAAAACATACAGCCAACATTCATGTGCCTGATTAGGAACTAGATATTGTAATGATGGGCTTTAGGGATTGCACGTAGTTCTGAATTCAGGGTGCCAGCCCCCTAATCTAAATGGGGAAGAAATTTAAATCCCAGAGCTCAGAGTCACTTCAAAGAGTGAGATAGGTGACATATAAATTGACTGATTGATTGATTGAATGAATGAATGAATGAATGAAACAATGAATGAATGAATGAATCAATCAATCAATCAGTGAATCAATCAATCAATTTATTCCTTTGTGAATAAATCAAAGAGAACCTTGAGTGACTATGTCTTGATCTGTGAATCCCATAATTGTACTCTAGCTTCATTCAAACAATATTTTAATTAGATTAAAAAATAGAATTGGTTGGTCCGATAACTATATCCAAACAAATAAATTATATAAATGGCTTACTAGCTTATCTGATTCCCCTAAAATGCCAACCAGCAAACTATTCAACTCTAATATTACCATGTTGTTTAAACCTAGACACTGAGTCACCTAGCACATTTTTTAGAAAATTACTGACTTGATGTAAAATAAAGAGTTTGAATTCTAAGTAGTTATATAAATTCCATTGTTACAATTGTACTCATGCTGGATTCCACAGAAATGATATTCAATTGACCTAATCAACATTAGGCATCTCGGAGCCTTATGAAGTCCTTAAACCACTTTTCTTAAGATCCTCTCTGATCACCATTGTTGAAAACTGATGGTATGGAAAGAGAATCATACTGAAACCATAATCTACGTTATACAATAAATTTTAAAAAGAGTTTAAAAATCCTGAAGCTCCACCATCTGCAGAGCACAAGAAACTGCTCCAGAAAATACTAGGCTGGCCACTTCGTATGATAATTTCATATACTACAGGTTCCAGCAACTCAATAATAATTAGTGCAACTCTTGGGCATCAAAACTTTGCGAAGTGCTCATTTAAAGGCAGGATTAATTTCAAATTAACATTCATCCATAAATGCTGCTGTATAAATGCATTTCAAAAAGGAGTCATTGGTTCATCCCCTGTGTGTAAAACAATAAACGTGCATTCAAAAGAAGAATATATGTTATAGAAAGAATGTAACTATATATTAGCCAAAGGTAAGATAAGCATAAAGGATAACAGAGAAACACCTACATGTTCTGAGGTGAAGGCAACCAGCCTTGGAATAGCTGCCATTCCTTTCTCTTTGACTTCTGGGAACATCTTGAAACGTGCAATCAACATAGCATACATGTTAGATATGGCACCACCTGGAGAACACAGTAACAAACTGTTACCTTTTTTTATTCACAGTTCACATACAGACTACATTTGTTGTAAGAACCTTTTTCAAAGTAGACATTTTTCTCAGGGCTTAATCCAAACACAGGTACCATAAATTCTCACTCATTCAGTTTATAACCTGCTATTCATTTGCTGAATTTTAAGTAGATAATGTAAGGAAATAGAAGACAAAACAGAAGACAAAAGCAATAAAAATACTATATAACCATATTTCACTTTTGGCTCTTGTTTGAATCCATTTGCTCAATGATCCTTTTACTATTAAAAATGTAGATAAACTTCTTAGAAAGAATTTGGAATTTTCTATTTTTTATTTTCCTATCACCTTCCTTTAAAATTTCCTATCTTGCTGTTCTAGATTTGATACCTTAGCTCCAAATTGAAGGAATAGAGAGTCTTACCTAGGAGAACTTATGTCCTACTTCTAGAATATACATTCCGTGTCTCTATTCTTCACTGACCAAAGAGTTTTTCAATATAATTTCTACAGAGGACATTCTGTTTCAATAGCCAGAGTTTTAGGCAGAGAAAACTGCAGAAAACGTTTTTTTTTTTTCCTGAACTGGACTGTAATAATCCCCAATTCACACAGTAATTATTCAGGCACAGATATACGTTTGCACATTTTGATAATTCTATTGTGTGTTCAAACATTTGCAGTACAAAATAGGTTCCGTCTTTTTAGCTATGATTTTGCACTATGTTATATCTGCTTCTGGCAAGTAGATTTGGGTTCTGCTTTAAAAAAAATAGAATGATTTTTGTTTTCTTTACTACGTAATTATTTTAAAGAGATTTCTGTTAATTGAATATCTAATCGAACAGTCTTATTTAAATTAGATTCATGCATTGAGATAAGACATTAAGTAATAGTTTGTAGAATAAATCATAATTAGCTCACATTACTTGTTAAGTCAAAAAAAAGTCATATCATGGCCTACTGTGATTGTAATAGCTTTGATAAGTGGCTTGCATCATTAAGGAAACTACTATAAATAGTGTATGCCTGTTTAAATTCCCTAAATGAGAACATTAGCTGTTCTAATATTCATATAGCACTCCTATCTTACTATTTACTAGGTCTACATCAGACCTCATTATTAAAAACTATAATTTCTTATTTATTTCATACAAATTAGTGAATATTATGTACTACAGAACTAAGGAGAGGTATTTCATTTGATTGCATGTTCTCAAATTGCCATTTGATTTTCTATAAAGCAGCACAATTTGCTTGAAGGAACTTAGAGCAAAGGTTCACTTGAACAGGCTGCTGATCACATTAGGTTGACTTCAAAGGTACTGTATATCATAATCATGAAAGTACAAAGAAACATCACTTACCAGGTGAAAAGATTCCATCACCAGCACCTCCTGGCCAACCAACTATTTCTCTCATTTTTCTTAATGTGACATATTCCAACAGCACAAACACAGGAGCAATTTCATAGGTGAACCTAGAACATAGCAATGTCTGCATCATATTGACTAAGTAAAAATACTGGTGGAATAACCTACTTCATAGAGCATATAATATAGAATAATAGAGTTGGAAGGAACCTTGAAGGTCTTCTAATCCAACCCCCAACTCAAGCAGGAGACCTTTATAACTTTGCTTTAGATTTGTTGCTTGATTATCTTTTCCAAGATCATCCTGGATATTGATGTCAGGCTGATTGGTCTGTAATTTCCTGGATGTGGTTATTTTTCTCTCCTTTTTTAAAGTTGGGAACCACATCAGCTCTTTTCCCTTCCTCAGGTAGTTCACCAGTGCTCCAAGAATTTGAAAAATATGTTTCAATAGTTCTGAAATCACATATGCCAGTTCCTTCAGAATCTGGGATGTAGTCCTTCAGGACCCAGTGAATTGAATCCATCTAAAACTGATAGGTGTTCTCTTATCTTATTTTTGCATATTTCAATTTGCATTCCTAACCTGTCATTTACAGTTCTGTTTTGGTAAGTTGAGTGTGTTTTCTTTTTGCACGAAGACAGATGTAAACTATAAATTAAGTAGTTCTGTTTTCTCTTTATTGCTCATTATTTCTTTGCCATCTTTGCCCATTAATGGACCAATTATGTTTTTGACTTTTTTCTTGTTTTTTTATATGTTGAAACTTTTTTTAAAATTATTTTTTGATATTTGTTGCAAGTCTTACTTCGTTCAAAGTCTTAGTTTTCCTAACTTCATCTTTGCAGATTTGGGCTATTTGTTGGTATTCTGCCTTACTTTTGTCCCTCTTTCCATTTTTTGTATTATCCTTTTTCCCCCCTCTTAGTTGGTCTGAGAGTTTTTTTCTTGGTTTCCTTGTTTTTCATTTTTAGTGGTATTGAACTAGATTATAAAATGATTTTATAATCATTTTTCAAGGTTCCCCAAACTTCTTGACTTCATTTCCCCTTTCAGATTTTCATCCATGGGATTTTTCCAAAGCTCTTTCTGAGTTTGTTAAGATTACTCTTTTAAGGTCTAAGAAACTGGTTTGATTGCGTTCTGTTGCTTGTGCCTTTTTTATATTGACTTCTAATATGACAGGTTCAATTTCCCATAAAGTTCCTGCGATTTCAACACCCTTTATCATTTATTCTCTGCTGGTAAGAATCAGATCCAATTGCTTCCTCTAGCTTTTGGGTGATGAAGTTGTCAGCTAGGTGGATCAGAAATCTATCTGATCTCTCATTTGTTGCAGAGTTTGCCTCCCAGTTGATGTTAAAGCCCCCCCCCCATTTCTACTGTATACGTTGGTTAACTGATTAGCAAAAAATATTTATTTCTTCTGCTTGATTGGGTGGATAGTAGTGTATACCTATGGCAATGTCATTCTTTTTTCCTTCTATGTTGACCCATATGCATTCTACAACTTCCTGCCTTAGATCATTAAAACAGTTTCTGATGCCTTCCAGATATGCCTGAGACTACAGCTCCCAAATACCACTGGCAAAACAAAAGAAGAGAATTCAACATATCACCATCTATGGAAATTCTTGATCATCCAGGTCATGGTTGTCCCAGGTCAAGGTGCTTTTCCATAAGGCAAATGGACTTTCTTGTTGTTTTTTTGCTTGAAAATGTTTTGCTTCTCATCCAAGAAGCTTTTTCAGAATGGAACTTTTTATTCTATCTTTTCTGGAGGGGTACAAATTCCTGTTTTTCCCATTTGCCTCCCTTAGTTTTTTTTTATTGAAAATTTTTAAAATTTTTACAGTAAAATCCCCTTCCCCAGTCCCTCCCAACCCACCCCAAAACCCTCCCCCATTCTTCCCAGAGCTGAATACAGGCTTAACTAGAACTTAAAAGAAAAAAAAACAAAAAAATTTTTTTTAAACCCAAATAAACCTTAAACAAATATAGTTACAATCAGTAAACAAATTGTAAAATACTTTAACTCCATTATATATAAAGAACAGAAAGAGGAAAATTAAATGTAAATTATTCAAAAGCTAGATGGTATTCTCTTATATCATACTTATATTGTATAAAATTTATCCATATCTATAATTCAAAACTTCTGTTTCTTTCACAATTAATAAACCAATCATCTCTCTAACTTAATAACATTACAAAATATCATATTGCATATAAAGTGAATTAGTTAGAATCTAATCCACCATTAAAATATTATAAACTTTAAGTATAAATTATTCAAAAAGCTAAACAATATTTTCTAATATCATACCTATATTATATAAAGTTTATCCATCTTTCTTTATTATCACCATCAAAAACACACATATAAACATTGTTTGTACCATTAAAATTCCCTTATACGTATTTAAAACAAAATATTCCTTTAAATGCTCCTTAAGTTTCTAAGCATGCACTACTTATCTAAAATTTTCATTCAATCTCTCTAATATCATACATAAATTTATCCCTCTTTCTTTGTCATCACAATCCAAAATACACATATAAACATTAATTGTACCATTGAAATTCCCTTATACATATTTAAAACAAAATATTCCTTTAAATGCTCCTTAAATTTCTAAACATACACTTCTTATCTAAAGTTTTCATTCTCCATAATCTTCTCTCCTCTTTTCCAATGACCAGTTCCATCCGCGATGGACTATAATCTGTCAATAACCTTGAAGCAATCTGTACATTCTTTACCCATCTCTCTTAACCAGTAACCTCGAAAAAACTGCTTGAAGATCTACCATTGAAGATTGCGCCAAAGAACTCTTAGGTCTTGCTTCTCCCACAGACTCAGAAACAAATTCTTGTAAAACATCCTTAACCTCCTTCTTCTGTTGTTCCTCTTCCTTGCATTTATATGCTGCCCGAGTCATTCTCTGCTCCTTCATCTCCACTTGTTGAGACCCCTCAGTCTGTGATTTTCCAACTTTCATCAATACAGCTTCTTCAGACTGCAATTCTACCTTCTTCTCTTCCAAGACTTTAAACGTTATAGGTGACGATGAGCATGCTCCCAGGACCGAAGTATAAAACTCCTTTGCTTTAAAAACAGTATTAAGTCTATAACGTATCCCCGCATAGCTCACCACTATTCCAATCGGGATATTCCATCTGAATGGCATCTGCCTCTTTTTAAGTTCATCTGCTAAAAAAGCAAACTCCTTTCTTCTTCTTAAAATTTTAGATGGAATCTCTTTAAAATTATAACATCTTGTGCTGCAATCTGAAACCTCTTATTATAAAAAACTTGTATAATTTCATTGCGTAGGGATCTTTTCCCAAAGTAAATTACCACATCTCTTGGCAGATTTCTTTGCTTTGCAACCCAAGAGTTAACTCTAAATATTTTTTCAATTTCTCTGAGTATTTCCTCTTTTTCTCTATCCAAAATCACAGCAAAATCATTTGAAACCATCTCTCTCAGATCTCCTTGCAGATGTTCACTCAAGCCTCTGATTCTTAAAGCGAATTCCATCTCTCTATATTGAAACATAAGAATCTCATCTTGAAAATTTTCCATCTTTTTTTCCATGCCATCAAATTTTCCCTCCAAGACCTCCACTTTATCTGCAACTTCTTCAACACGAAAATCCAACTTTTCAACAACAGAGGCAAGTCCTTTTAAAGCCAAAACTATATCTTGCCTCAAGATCCTGTTATTTTCCACTAAAATCTCTTTCACTTCTCCCCTAATTTGAGATATAGCATTTCCCATTACATCTTGCAAATCTTTTACCGTTAGTGACTGTGCAGAAGAAGGGGGTAATAATGTTGATTTAGGCTGTTGCACTGGTAATATCACCGAAGAAGAAACCACCTTAGGAATTGTAGAAATTACTGGGCGTTTTGAAGCCATCTTAAAAGAAAAAATTTTATTTTCCTATTTCCTCCTTCTTAAAAAATACAAAAAAGAAAAAGAAAAAAAGAGTTAAACAAAAAAGAGGGAGATTAACTCAAAAACCCAAATCCTCCTTCAAAAAAATCATTGTAATAAGAAAAAGAAAAATAGGAAAAGAAGAGAAAGGAAAAAAATAATTAAATAGACAAAATCCATTCTCCTTAAAAGAAAAAACTTCAAATCGCCATTTTACTTTCCCTCTCAACAAAGGAAAAAAAAGAAAATGAAAGTAACTCTTTAAACTTGAAATCCAAACTTAAAATCCAAATAAAATCAAAAAATAAAATCCTCTAATCAGCTCTGTCCGCTTTTTAAATAATGCACCAGTTCTCTTTAAGCGCGGAGGTGGGAGTGGCATCTTGCGTTGTCCCAAACAACAAGGGACAAAGGCACCTGAGAAGCGGAGACACCCTGAACTCTGTGGGAGCACTCCTTTCACTCCAAAAGAAACTCCTTTGGAGATCTCAGAGGCTCAACCACTTTTCAGGGTGAAACTCCTCTCCCTCCCTTGGCCCGGGAAGGAGGTTTTAAACCGCAGAACAGCTGATGCCTGCTGTTCTCAGCGGTTTTAACGCTGTCTCAGGAGGACAGCTACAAAGTAGCCGCCATCGCCAGCGCTACACCACCGAAAGTCCCCATTTGCCTCCCTTAGTTTTAACCTGCTCTTCATATTTTTACTAACAAATTATTTTCTGTTTATCTGTTTGGCTATGCAACTCTCACTGTTCTGTAGAACCATTTTTCAAGCCATACATGGTAAATGCTACATTTTTCCCCCTCTTTCTTTTTTTCTTTCTTAAAAAGAGGCATGCAAAATATAAATGCTAATCTATCTGCTGACAATAGTGCAACCTCTTGTGTACTATAAAATAAATATATTAATAACTATGAATGTGAAATTTTATCTGATTAATTATTGTTCATTAATTATGAATGCGAATATGTTTGTTGGGTTTTGTTCCTTGTAACTAATGAACTGAATGCAAGTTTTATTAAGTCCTTTGCAAATCAATGAACAAGAAATAACTATTCTCAAAAAGTGAAACTTTTATCTATCCTGCTATGTGAGCATTACCCCTCAATTAAAATAATCTTTGGACCAGCTTTCATCTATGAAGACTTTAATTTCATGCATGCAAAAATGGACAAACTCAGGCAATGAGGATTTTTTTTTACTGTTGCTAATTTAAAAAAACAAATATTTTGCATAGATAGTAAAATAGTGTACTTTATTTCTGAAAACAATCTAAATTAATTTCTGACTTAATGATGCTTAAAAGGATCTTATTAGTCAATTTACATACTTACATATTAGTGTTAGCTGTAGAAGTTAGCCAATCTGCAGCTAATCCAACCATATCCAATCCAGTTGAAAGCTGATTGAAATATCTGGGATGCCCTGCAAAACATCTGAATAAGCTACATTGAAAGATACAATTTTTTTACTATATTTCTATTACATTCATATTTCCTGCTGTCCATTTTGGTCCATAAAATCCCAACCTTGTTGAATTTATATGGCAAACAGCTTCAGTGAAAACCCATTATGTTTAGCTTTAAGCAATGAGGATGAAGGTTCTATACAGAGAGACTTTTGTGCAGGTGTTATTAGCTTCACCATTACTCAAAATGCCTTGTTCTCTTAAAAGGACTAGATGGATCTTTTCCATTTCAGAAAAAGTTGAATGACAGTTGAATTATATTTCAATATAGTTATACAAAGAGCATCTTATATGAATCCAAAAGAATTTCTTTAAAAAAATCTTTATTTTCTCAAACTAGGTAAAAACAAAAAGAAAAAGATAGCTATGTAAACAGCGTTAACATAGTAAAATAACATTCTCACCTCTAAAAGGAGAGAGAAGGGGGAGGGAGGGGAGGAGAGGAGAGGGCACAGGAAGGGAGGGGAGAAGAGAGGAGAAGAGAGGGGAGGAGAGGGAAGGGGAGGGGAAGGAAAGAGAAGAGAATGTAGGTAAGGAGATGGGCAGGCAAAATGTGCCTGGACATTTATCTAATAAACAAAACAACTTCATAAAATTTGAACAAATTGCCCAAATTGCTCTCTGCCCCTTTGTCAGAACAAACATCACCATCTGAATGCTGATAGACCATATGTAACAGGTATTCATTCCTACATATTAGCAAAAAAAGTTTTCTTATATAATCACAATGTTTGGCCATCCTACATGCACTGTGCTTAATATTCTAATAAACTCCAAATACTGTAGACAGAGCCATCAATATATAAACATTCTTAATGGGCAGTAAATTATTTTATAACAAGCCTAAATCACAAAACAGGATGAATATACGTCTGATAAATATATTCAGAAGAAAGAGACTGCCTCCCACCAATACTAACTCTATCCTCCACAAATCATTTCTCACAACCTTTCATTAGTTTTTAGAAAGGATCATCTCTAAGATGTTTTCCTGTAGATCATTTTCAGATATCAGAAATAAATCTTACATGGGTCTTTGTGTTTTTTGATAAAAATAAGACAGTAAGACAGAAATGTGTAAATAAAATCTTGCCAGTCTTATTAAGAGAAGAACAGGACTGAATTTTACATCACCAATTTGTTTCTCTTTGTACCTTTTGACCCAGTGTAACTGTGAATTCTACAAAATATGATGACTTTCTGGTTATTAGCAGAGTAATTTTAAATAATGCACAAAGCATTCCTAAAACTAATGGTCTTCATTCATATTTAGATTGAGTAACTAAGCTCTGTTTGATTGGGACCTTTATCTCTCACTTATTTTTTCCCTGCTTAATTAAAAATACTCCTGTAAACCAATTGTCACGAACCAATTGTCAAGATATGTTACACTCTTCCAAAATATTTAGCTAGCAAGGTTGAAAGGAATTCTAGGAATGGAAGTCCACCATAGCTGGAAGACTTCAGTTAGGAAACGATGCTCAAATTTCCATTGCTAGAAAAGGGTAAATATGCAAATTATTTGGATTTCTTTCTACCCCTTTCCTATAACAGTTTAACACATGTATGTTACTTCAAGTAGCTCCCACACACAGCACATTCGGAATTCTTCCCTCTAGGGTTCTTTGCACAGTAATTAATCTAGATATGGACAGATAAAAATATTTCAACTGTATTCATAGACCTGCAATCAAGCAAATTACAACTAGCTTAATTTGCTTAGCAAGTAGAGTGATTAATGGCTCAGAAACTACAAGGGCTAGATTCATCCAATGTTCTAATTAATAGGACCACCACAGGCATTTGCACATCCTTAGGTTGCAATTTCTAGTAGCTAGATAACTTCTAGAGAGTGTTCAGATCTCTATTTTCAATTCAGGGCCACCTGGATTTCACTGCCCAGATAAAATAGAGTAGCTCTATTCTAAACCACAAAACAGATACAGTATACTACATATTAGCACATTCCAGAAAAACAGCCTTCTGCAAACACTGTTTTTTTTTTAAGTACTTCTAAAGAAAAACAGAAATAAATATTATTTTAATTGCAATTCCCCTTTACCATATGAAGAAATCTTTTTTTTGTTACCAATTACTGCTATATTTCAGAATCAGAAGAACCAGCCAGAATACTGAGTAGTTACTCATGATTAATCATAACCCATATGATAAACAACTAATGATGATAAGAGACAAAGCAAGAGGAGGTAATGGAATGAAATAGGTGAAGATATGAATTCTTCCCAGGCAGCTGAAGACTATATTACTTCTTCCTGGACAGAAAGTAACAACAATAAATCATCAAATTTCCTGTTAATTGTGATTTTTAAAGAAATCTGATGGAAATTATCTTCACTGGTGTGTCAGAATGATACATGAGAAAAGTCCTATAGATTTATATGGTTTATTCCACTGGCTTATATGTTCTAAACAGTCTGGAGATGTTTAGTTAATTCTTTGGAGCTATTCTTTCATACATAAATAAAAGTTTCCCGAAGTTGCTAGAACAGTTAAAACATATACACGTGTGCTTAACCACACAACACTTGTGTCTCAGATTCAGGACAGCACAAGAGAAGATTAAGAGCAGCTTCACCAGCATTTGATTTTGAAATCAAGCCCCAGACAGCTCCTCTTTAAGATATATAACATCTCTATCTGTAAGGGAAGCAGGAGGTACCGCAAGGCTATTAAAAATGGCATACAGAAACTGAAAAGAAAATTATCTCCCTTGAGCAGTCTTACATCAATCACATGCATATCATAAAGACTTCAGCACTGAAAGGGATTTTGCTGTCATCCACAGAGTGACACACAAAAGCTGAACAGTGAGGTTGTGTGGGTGAAACTAACGGAGAGGAGGAAGGTTGAAGGGGGCAGCAAAACCAATTACTCTCTTAGATATGGAATCAGAGCACAACCTTCTGTTAATTTAGCTTAAAATTATGGAGCCTGTTTTGGAAAAGCAAAGTGTAAGGTTTGACCTAAATTCCCCTGATTTTTATCCCTGTTATTTTAGCCCGTGTTTGTCCCAGGGTGGCACTGTGCCATCCCTACAGAATGATGCAATGAGTAAAATAAAGTGTGAGAGAACAATTAGGCCAAGGACTGTCAGTAGGTTAATACAGGTAGTCCTCAGTTACAATGACTGTTCATTGTTTAATGACTGTCTAGAGTTACAACGGCACTGGAAAAAAGTGACCCATGACCAGTTCTCACATTTATGATTGTTTTCCCAAAGTCAAATGAAGATCAAATTTCAGATGCTTGGCAACTGCCGTATGTTTACAATTGGCTGCAGCATCCTGGGGCCATGGCATTGTTATCTGCAACCTATCTAAGGAGCTTCTGACAAGCAAAGCAAAAAGGTCATCAAATGGGATATGACTCACTTAACAACTGCCTTGATTAGCAACAGACATTTTAGGTTCAGTATCCATATGGCTAAGGGATGTAAATCTGGGCTTTTCAGTATGCTAATGAAGGCCTAAGGAGGGTTTTTTTTTTTTTTCATTCCAAGAACAATATTTCCTTGTAGCTCACCTCCTAGAATCTGGAAGTGGCCAAAATCTAATGTAGACAATGTCTATGACCCACATACATTTTAGGTGTACACTTTCAATCTTCACATATAGCTTTTTTTTCAAACCTGGCTGCTGTAGAAGGCATAGCAAAATCAAATTCAATCTAATCGTATATCTACATAGATTTCACATTAATAATTAAACTATTAATTCCAAATTTCTAATATAATCCCCATCACCCACATTAGGATTTGGATTTAATAAATTTGCAGTCCTATAAGCTAATTTTGCAACACTTAACCATTGCTTTCCTTCATTGATTATTTATTGATTTATTGCTACAAAAATGGTAGTTGAGATTCAGTGCATCTGGAAAGCACCAGAATGGGAAAAGCTGAATTGAAACTGTACTAAATTACTAGAAATAATTTAATGGCAAAACGCATGGCATGTGCACCTGCAGTCTTAACAAATTACATTCATAACATATTTTTATTGGATGTTTTCATATTTATATTATACACCCTTCTTTCCACCAAAAATAGTGTTCAGAGTGCACTGATCTTGAAACATTTCTAGCAAACCTATATATATGGATTAACTCAATCATGATGAGAGATCTTCCTCTACACTGACGAAGAAAAGGAAAATAAATAATATTTTATAGGAGAGATTTCCATATGAATGTGATTCCATGTAGCCTCTAGATTCATTTCAGTGTTTTACAGGGAACAGTATTTTGTCAGATAAAAAATTACGCACAAGTGGATTGTTGAGCCCCACTTAATCTCGAGTGACTTCTCGACTGCCACTCTTAGACAGAACAATCTCACTTCCTTCTAGCACTGATGATGTTACCTAGTTTGGTAATAAAATGAACCACAAAGCTCACAGAATACCAGGGATCCACAGTTCAACTCTGAGCTATTCCCAGAGCTATTCTCTTCTGTCAGTTAGACATATTATGTGGCTCATCCTTAGTGAGTCCTTTGCACTATAAGACTATATTTTGCTCCTAACTGTGTCATGCTACTTTAATATTGTTCCTAGTGAATCCTCTTCTATCTCCACATCTCCCTAACCAGCGGTCTATGTACCATAATAACAGCAGGACAATAAAATGGGTTTTTAGGCAGGAAATGGCAGGCAGTTTTAATAAATAAATTTAGCAAATGACTGAAGACTGACCTCAGTACTAATCGCATTCTAGATAGTCAAGGCCAGGAAAACTGTCCAAGAAGATGCCACCACATCAAATCCAGATTTTTGTTATGGAAAGATGTGATATCCACAATTTCCAACTAATTTATAGACTCCTGATTACCCACACCAATTTATTTATTTATTTATTTATCACAGCAATGTGATATACTTGCCATCTCACGTGATTCTTTGTATGTCCTAGATCACAATGTTATATAAAAAAGATTATA